GAGCAAAGCAGTCGCCGTCCTTCGTGCACTGCCCGCACACCGCAACCGTCGTCACGTCGGTGATGCCGTGGAGCTCTAGTTCAGCCGCCGTCGTCACCTCCCGTCCCGCGACCGTCAGGCACCCAGCAACGAACCGGTAGCCAGCGTCAACCCGCGATAGCAAGGAGACCGACCACCCCGTCGAGCCCATCGTGCAGCCCGTCAGCGTCACCACACTGCTGCTGTCGATCCTCACAAAAGCGGAGCCACTGTCATAGAACATCGCACCCACACCCACGTCGTTGTCGCGCCAATCCAGCCAGCTTGACCGCTTAAGAGACCACAAATCGTCCGCAAAGATGGCGTAGGACACAGAGCCGCTGTTCCCCACCACGCGCAACACGCTGTGATCCGAAACAATGAATCGAGAGTACTGATGCACAAGGCTTGTCCCGGAGGCCATTGTATTGTTGAGCAGCGCAAAAACGGAGTGATCACTCGCACTGAGAATGTTGACGTAGAACAGATGCGTGTACCCATCGAAGCTGCAGTACCGCGCGTACAGCGAGCTGCCAGCCACGAGCGTCAGCGTCCCAATAGAGTACAAACCAAACCCACCGTAAATCGTTGCATGAGCCTTGACGTTGCTGACCAGCAGCGAGGATGTAGTCAGCACAACGTTCTGCAGCAGCACGACACTCCACGTGCTAATCCTGATGTCCGGCAAATTGACCTCAGAGGCCTGCACCGCGTCAACCTCCGTGACGGCGATTTCGCAGTGCAGCGGCAGGGCAAGCGCAAACATGACAACGGAGGAACGCATCACCGCCTGGCTCACGCGGATCAGGACACCGGCTGACTCGGCCGCCGCAGCACCACCAACAAACTGCAGCGCGGCACCCTCACGGAATGTGCATCCAGTGAGCGTGATGTTGATGGGGAGATGCAGCGGCATACGATTGAGAAAGAAAGTCAACACAGCACCCACGCCGCTGAATGTCACACCCGCGTAGCAGTGGTGCGTCTTCCACATGTTCAGCGTAATTTTCGGCAGCGTCTGGTTCACCACGCAGCTCGTGTCGCCGTCGACGGCTCTCTCCGCCACGGGCGGCACAACCGTGTCGGGCACCTCGAAGGGAAGACACGACGCGCCATGCCATCCGTCCTTGCAGCTGCACGAGCACGAGCTGCGGTCCACCAACTCCGTCCCGGGCATGTAGCACGCCGCGTCGTCGCTGCATGTGCCGCACCTGAACACCACCACGCCCGCCGGAAGCAAATCGTCGTACGACACCTCCTCACCGCCCTGCAGGTTGCACCCAACAACAAAGTGCGCGGGTGAATCCACAAGCGTGTTTGACAGAGACATTTCAGCAAAAGGACAGCTATCGTCCACCTGACGGTTGTGTGCAAGCGCCACGGTGGTGCCGCTGCCTGACAGCCGAATTTTGCACTTGGAATGCGATATAATTAATACTGATGCTGCACTCACGCTGTTGCCCTCCACACGCCACTGCGCACCACCCTCGAGAGTAACAGAGCCGTCCAAATACAACAGCGCAGATTCAAAATCCTCCGCGCTTCCAAAAAAGGTGCAGTCCGCCACTCGCAGCAGCCCCGCGGAGCTCACAACGGTATCCCCATAAAAATGAATGCCACTGATTGCGCTTATCGTGTTGTTCTCCACGTCAAAGTAGCCGCCGTTCTTCACATCAACAGCGTAAATGCAAAAGACGGACTCCATACCGTCATCCTCCTCCGTCGCAATCAACGTATTTCCCTTCACAACGATCCCGCCACCATCAACAACAACAGTATGGAAGAAATAGACTGCGTAACTATTTCCCTCGATGCGGTTACAGAGTAGCAGCAGCGTCGAGTTCGCACCAAAGGAAAATTTCGAGAAGTAAATGGCGTGGCGAGACCTCGACAAGAGCTTACTGCCCACCACCAGTATCTGGGAGCTCACGCCAAAATCACCCCTAAACTCCAACTCACCAGAATCCAGCATCGAGGATGTCACGCTCACGTGCACACGCGCACCACTCCCCCTGATCGACAGGCCCATGAGGACGCACTGCAGCAGCGTGATGTTGAGTGTCTGCTGTGGTGCGTCAAAATGCAACAGGTCCAGCACAATCGAGGCAGTGAAGGTCACGTTGACGAAGCACAGACCACGCACACCGGGATCAGGATCGTACACGGAGCTGATGATGCCACCGTGCACGCAGCGGACCTCCGTGTCCCTCGCATCGGGGAGCGGGAGCGGCCCAAGACCGTCCGGAACCGCAGCTGGCAGACACGTGTCACCGTAGCCGCCAGCAGCGCACACACACTCACAGCCGCGGATGCTGCTCGTCCTCGCCGCAAAGCACACGGCGTCCACGGTGCACGCACCACAGTCCAACACCGTCACGGGCGCCACAATATTGAGCTCTTCTCTGTAATTCGTCACAGGTGAGCCTATTGCCTCGTTGCACACGCCGTAGATGGTCGGGCGCGTGTCGGATGGTGGTGACCAGATGCTTGTCATGTGTGCAATGGTCGACGAATACGAGCCGTACGTGAAGTTGTTGTCAAGTATCGACCACACACTCCGATCGCGGAACACCATGCCGTAGTGGGCAGCCACGTACACAACGTAGGCGGTGCGAAACTCGTTGTCGCGGTGCACCAGCCAGCTGCCATCAGTCACAGTCAGCGTGTTTGCAATGAGCATGGCGAAGCCAAGACGGAAATTGCTGGACACAATCTGCAGCACGCTGCCACCATCCACCGCAACGTCCTTGAACACACACGCACCCTTGTAGTATTCGGTGCTCGGCGCACTCCACAAGCTGTTCTGTACGGAGAACACGGAGCCGTCGCTGACACGCAGGCCCGACGCAAAAGCGTAAATCACGTGCGTCCGCGACCTAATAACGCAGTTGTCCATATAGAATACGCTGGACAGGTTCACGACGAGGCCGCGCTCCACGAGGATCGCAGCGCACGATTCCCCGCCACACGCCAGCGTCGACCGCGTCATGACAAACCGCGTCGACAACAGACGGACGCCGTCCAGGACAAGCGCGGGGCCGTACCGAAATTTCTCGTGGCCAGGGGTCGTCGGCACGTACTGCGACCCGCCAACCGTCGCGCGCAGCGTCGAGTTCGCCAGCAGCACACTCGAGTGCAGCGGCATCGCGCCATGCAGCACAATCGTGCCCTCCAGCGACGTCACATTCGTCATGTTGACGAGGGCGTGAGGCATCAGGCGTGCCGAGCTCTCGCTGAGGCCACCAATCCGCAGCTGCGCGCCGTCCGCAAGCACGCAGTGGCGCAGCGTCACGTTCAGCGCGTCGGCAAACGCGTCCATCGAGCGCAGGTCCACCGCCACAGTGATCGGCCCGCTGAACACCACCGAGTCGAAGCACGCCGTCGCACGCCCGCCGCCAACCGTCACCGACTCCGTCAGCGCCACGCCACTCACGCAGCCCTCCGCGGTATCGCCACCGCCGCCGGACCTCGCAGGCGGCACGTCGAACGGCAGACACGCCTCGCCCACACCGCCGTCGCGGCAGCCGCACACGCAGTCGGAGAACGACGCCGTCAGCGCATCAAAGCACGCCAGAGCTGCCGCACAGCCGTCGCACGGCACCACGTTCACGGAGGACAGGCCGGCCATGCGGTAGTCGCCGCTGCTCTGCAGCACCCGGCCGCCGGCACGGTTGCACTGCACCGACACGACGCCGCTCGTGATCGTCGGTCCGGAGACAAGCGTCGCGCCAACGGCAGCGCAGCGCGCAATCGACACGGTGCCGCCGCTCAGCGCCACCCCCGACAGCGACGCCACCGACGACGCCTCGCCCACCGCCCACACGTCGTGCAGGTCAAGCCACCCGCCGCCACCGACAGTCCCACCGTCGCAGCACACCAGCGAGGACGTGACAGACCCCTCGACGCCCACAAAGCGCAGCACCGAATCAAACACAGTAACACGCTCTCCAAGCACAAGGCCGCCGCCGCTGCTCACAACCGACACGTTCGTCACGGAGAACACCGAGTGGCCCCGCAGACTGAGACGCGACGAGGACGCCACATGCATCGCGGACGCGGTCGGACCGTCCGACGCCTCCAGCGACACGCCGTCAAGCACCACAGCGCTCGACAGCAGGTCCACGTCGCCGCCAACGTACACCGCCGACCCGCCCGCCTGCAACGACCTCAGCACTGTGTTGCTCACACGCAGCTGCGACTGCAACAGCGACGTCGCGTGCAGCACAAGCGGCGACGCCACCGCGTCCGTCAGCCCGCTCAGCTGCGAGTAGCGCATCGGTCCCGGCGTCACAATCGTCGAGTCACGGACCGTTACGTTCGTGTGTGCCGGCAGGTTGTGCACAAACACAAGCGAGCAGTAGTCGCCGGATAGCCCGCTCACACTCACCTCCAGGCTCCGGTCACTCGCCGGCTCGCCGCCGTAGCCCCGCACGTGGATCTGCGCACCGCCGTCGCACACGCAGTTCCTCAATTCGATGCGCAGCGCGCCGGGAAGCATCGCAGGCACGTCGAACACAACAGCCACGCCGTTCGTGATGGACACGCCGTCCATCAGCACCGTGTCCACGGCGCGGCCAACCGTGATGGCTCTGTCCACCGTGCCTCCTCGCAGTCGCAACACCACCGCATGCACCGCGGGCATCCACGCCGCAGCAGCAACCAGCGCCAACGCCACAAGCAGCGCCGCACGCACATTCGCAATGGCCCTGCGCCGCACACGGTGCCGGCTGCGCGGACACGCACCCACCGCAGACCACATCCACCGACCCAGACACGTATCAACAGGGCTGTCGTGGTGTTTCGCACTCGCCCCGTCGACCATAACTCCTACTTAGCAAATCCCGTTCTACAGATGGCGAATCCAGATACACGATTCCGATAGGTCGTTATCCCACTAATTCCAAACCTAATACTGCGAGTAATCCCTAACACCTTGAAACGATAATTGTGCTGGTAAAGCAAAAGTATCTCTAACTGCACGGTCAGAAAGGGAATAAAAGGAAGCAACCACAGTAACCAAACACAGTGGCACGCCGAGGCATCCGGTAATACACAATAACCACCACAGTACAAACGCCAACAGGAAACCGCGCAGACGCAATCAATTCAGTAGCACCATCACCCTCGCACCGCCCGCGCAACCCCACACAGCCGCCGTCCCAGGTAACAGGGTCCCGGCAAAAACAAACATGACCACTAGCGTCGCTGGTGTGACCAATGAGTCGGCACAGCACAAGAAACAGCGAACTCATACGCGCACGGCATACACAGGAAGAAAAAGAAGAATGGAGGAGCACGGCGGCTGTACGCAGACACGGGGAAAAAGGATCCACATCAACTGCACAGTCCGATTGGCTCGCAGCCGTCCGAATGGTGGTCCCGCCGCTGCCGTGCGGTACATGTGGCCTGTGGCTGCTGTGGACTGAGAGGATGATGAGGGGGAAGAGAGATGCGGTGCGGTCCTCATCCATCTCGGTTAACTGTGACACCAGTCACGCCATCCCGTCAGATTACCTGCAGCAAAGACCGTCACCGTCAGCAGCGGTCGGTGCCTTCTCTCTCCACCAGGCGCCGTCACGCGCCTCCTCCCTCACCAACACAACGGGGGAGCAGCAGCCACGCGCAACTGCCAGCACCGAGTACAAAAGAAGAATCCACCTGCACTGCAATGTGTGTGTCCTGCGCGTGTGGTTGTGTGTGCCCACTGCCACGCAAAAAGGAAAAAGACAGAAAAAAGAAACGAAGTATCTGAAGAGACGCACAAACACAAATGCACAGCAGAGGCGCATGTCCAAAGAAAGAAGAATGGAAGGGCTGCTCAAACTCAGGATTGCACTGCAGCCCGATCAGCGGCAAACCACAGAAGATTTATTCAAAACAAAAGAAAACCTTCCCTAGCCACCCCCTTCTTATATAAACCCCGTCATAAAAAAAAAAAAACGTCCTCTGTTACTGTTCCACACGAATTTAAAAATAAGAAAAAAAGAAAAAAGTAATAATAATAATAATAAATTCGCCTAGCTGCCGTGTGGCCACACCGAACTGTCTGTATATTTTGTCCTAAAAGAAAATTAAAAGGTATTTAAATGTCTTTCAACCGTCTGACCTCCGTGTGTCCGCACATCGTTTATATTTCGTGCGGTCATCTGCGTGTTGCTGCTCCCCTCAGCCCTCTCATCGGCGCGTGAGTGCGGCCCGCAGAGCTCAGTCACTCGTGTGCGGAGGGAAGTGAGAGAAGCACGCAGACACGACGGGAGTAGCGTCACTCCATCGGGAGAGTGAGCGCAGCAAAAGGAAAAAATCATCAGGAGGGAAAAGAAATGCTGACGGCACTGCCAACCAGAGAAAAAAAAGAAAAGAAAAAACACGGCGGCAGGGTGCGGCTGTGTGTGTGGCGCTGCGGGTGTCTGCCAGCCCTGGCCGCATAAAAACAAAACAAGAGGGAAGGAAATGTGTGCGCCGCCCCACAGGCCCTCGCCGCACGTCCACACGTCACGGCTCCCTCAGCGCGCCGTTCGTCGCGGCCCCTCCTCATGCGTGCAGCGGGCGAGGCGCACAGGGCCGTCGTCATGAGCGTGTCGGTGGGTGTGCGAGTGGAGCAGTTGGGCGGAAACACACGGCACCCCTCACAGGAAGAGTGCAGAAAAAACAATTAAAGAGGGAAGAGTAGAAAGGAAAAAAAGTCCACAGTGATTGCCCCCAAAAGCAAAAACGAAGGGAAGAGTGAAGCAAAAAAGAAAAAACAGACATTTTTTTTTTTCTTAAGCAAACAAAAATGATTTAAAACAAACATAAAAAAACATGAAAATTATGCTCCAAACAGAAAAGAAAAACAATTAAAAGCCGGAAAAAAAACGCTTAAAATGGTTGCCCTAAAGCAGCAAGGGAAAAATGGAAAACATTAAAAGAAAACAAAAACAAATTATTCTCTGCGTAGTAAAATTTATTCCTAGCGGTGTGTGTGAGTGTCGGCGCAGGGAACGGCACAATTGCTCCACACTGAGACCGCACACTCCTCACAGAGCCGCAAACACCCACAGCCCGAGCAGAAGAAGCAGCGGCAGCAGTCCGCTCCCAGCAGAGGTAAAGCTTATCGCGGACGCATGTTCTGCGTTGGTAGCTCTCTCCACAGTTGTCCTCCCCGGTGCTGCTGGTACTTCCCCTGGGCCAGGCGCCGCAGATCCAGCAGATGCGATGGTTTGAGGAACATCATCCGCTTGCCATTCCGAGCCTCTTGCCAAAACGGGGATCCTTTCCTTGATTGCAGTCATCTCAGTGGAATTCAGTGGGCGGTTGTACAGAAAGACGTTCTTCACCGTCACACGAGGTTTTTTGCCGATCTTCTTCGTACTGGCCTCCTCCTCATCATCATCACCAAAGTCGCACGCGCCAAAGCAAAAGTCTGCGACATCAATTGGCCTCTCATCTGTTGACAGAGCTTCTTCCTCCCCCAGCAACTTGCCATCAATGTACACAGAGGCCTTGTTGCCTTGCAGCATGAGTGCCACTTGGTATTCTTTCCCCGACTCCCAAGTGTCACTTTTTGTTATCTTCTCGTATTTGAATATCGTCACCCACTTGTTATCCGCGGTGTACGACAGTCTCATGATATATGGGGGCCCAGCGTCAAGCAACACCGCAGTCAGGAGAGGTGTGTTCCCGCTTGGAGTCTCTTCGATGGTCACCGACGCCACAAGTGTGAAGTTGTGGCTCAAGGATACATGACGTACTTTATCACCCCGAGTGTTCACAGGCCACATTACCCCGGAGTCAGGCTCCGTCAACTGAAACCCATCCTTGACCTTCGTGGCGTTCGTCACCGTTGCATTCAGGCAAAGGTACTCGTCGTTCCACGTGTCACCACTGGCCGCATCGGACAAAACTGCCACCAGACCCGCCATGGGTATTGACAAGCCGAAGAAGAAAACGTCCTTTTGCGACCAAGTGCTGAGGACGGACTCGATTTCCTTCAGCTCCTCCGTCAGGCGGGAAAGTGAAATGGCACTGCCTTCACCACTGACCCTCCGTTGTAAAATATGCAAATAGCCATCCGAGTACAGTAGGCTGCTGGCAAGCATCCAATTCATATTATCCTCCACGGCAACCGGCCCAACACAAAACGTACGGTTGTTGTCCGTGACCCAAAGGTAGAGCGCAGAAACCTTATTCTTCCCCGAGGTGTACTCTCTCTGAGTGTACAGCATGACCTTCCTTCCCTCAATCGTGGCGGTGATGAGGGCATCCAAATGCGGGCTGACGTCCCAAAAGACTGATCGGGCGTTGACCCACACGCCTGGAAGCGTCCCGGTGGCCTCCGTCCACGTTGTCCCCATGTCACGCGACTCGTACACCCTCTGGCCATTCACACAGTCAACAACCATGAGAAGTGATCCCGTCCCCCATTCGGTGATGCGGGGGTTGTGGCAGCCCGCAGAAGAAACGCCCTCAGATAGCGACCAGGTACTGCCGTTGTTCGTCGAATAAATGATCATGGAGTAAACGCCATCATTTTCTTTACTCTCCGCCATCAGAGAAAACACAAGCGTGCCATCCTCCATCAGAACACCTGAGCCACCAGAAGGAAAAAAGGTATTCAATTTACTTTTGTGATTCAATGAATATTTCGAATCGAACAGCGGTCTTGGGTCACCCCATTCGATCCGTCCACTCTGCTTGCTGCTCGTAGAATTCGTGACATCACCCACAACCAGTTTCAGATCCAGGCTGTCCACTTTCCACTCCGGACCTTCTTTGTGCGCATCAGTGCTTCCCGCAAGAAGAAACACCTTATTGTCCTTCATGGTGGTTGTGGGGCGGAGCACAACACCCACACGATTATCCGTTCCATCCGTTGTACCAAGCACGGTGTGTGCCTTCCATGTACTTTCACTCACCTTGCCAACAAGAGTGGACCAATTCCACGCAGAGTCGATGTACTCCGCAACAACATCAGAAGAAGACGGCTTATTTGATTGACCACCTTGATATTCGGCATTCATGTGACCTTCGGCAAAAGCAGCAATCACTCCACCAGCGCTGACGAGAGAGGGTCCAAAAAATGAATCCCTCGTCTTAATTGGGCCAGTCCCCTTCTTCGGCAGCACCAGCGTCGTCCGCGAAACAAATAGATCGACCCTCTGCAAATTCTGAATATTTATTAAATCATTCTTGCCTGCATTTGCTTTCTCAGTGGCTGCAGCTCCACCACTGCCGCAGAACATCACAACCACAAATAGGAGAAGCAGCACCGCGGAAGTAAACACAAGACGGGACATGTTGGGCCTCTGCGGCTCACTCTCTCTTCCTTCCCTCCTCCTTCCGCGGGATCCGGTCACACAGCGACGGTTGTGTGTGCGGGGTGCCTCCACTGCAGCAACACGTGAGAGCATATAAATATGTGTGTGTGGGCGGTGTGTGTGCTGTTGGTCCTTTCAGTGCCTTCGAATCTCACAGTAGCGTTTAGCGCTTGGTAGTAACTTCCTTCTTGGAGGGGAGCAACAGGCAACAGCGGCAGAAAGGCAACACAACAGCAGTACACACCTGAACCACTCACAGCGAAACACAACATCACCATCCAATCAGTCAATATTCTACAGCACCTCTCAACAGCACGCAAACAAAAATTAAGAAAAACAATTGAGCAGCCTCACAATGGGGGACCGCAGGCCACGGTCCTGCAAACAAGGCAAGCGACGGGGGGCCACGTGTGGAGTGAGGAAAAAGAGAGTTGCACTGCAACGGCACGGCGGCGTGACACCCCGTGGGGAGTATCGATGCGGACCAGCACGACACGTGCAGGAAGAGTTGCTTCTCCCGCTGAGCAGAGAGGGAAAACCAGCCTCAGCGTCCCAATGATGAGAGGTCGTCTGCACCTCCTCGCAGCACCTGTAAGCTCGGCAGACACAATGATGCAGATGACGCTCTGCTGCACGCATGACGGCCGTTGCACCCTTCACAATGTCAATCGCATCCTGTGGCACCACACGCCGCAGTCGGTGTGCACAGTCTCCGTCTCCCTCCCTCCTGTCCCTCTCACTGAGAACTCATTGATAGCCGTGGCAGACCCACCAACATGTCAGAAAGCACTTGTTTTTCTTCTTCCCTCGCACTTCGAACAACAGCACCGCCAAACGAAGGTCACTCCTTCTTTCGCAGACTTTCCTCAGGCACGCCTCCCGCCACATTCATCCGCCCACCTCCGTTCATGTCGTCTCCCCTTCAGGTGCTCGCACCACACTCACAGTCCTCTTGATTGTTATCGTCTGGCCGCATTAAGTTCCCATCAGCACCATTGGGAATGAATCCTCGCATGAATGAAAATTGTTGTTGCAGAGCGTTGTCGCCCTCCTAATCAAAGGGAAACAACAACGGATAAACGCTCGCAAAAAAAAAAAGCATGGCAGTCTTTCCCTACGAATGTGTTCACCCAAGCGCATTTCATCCGTTTCCCCTCGTCAGTCATACATGCCCACAGCACCGCGAAAGCACGTTTTCACCCGTAATCCCGGAAAGAAATGCCGTTTCCCTCACCACCATCACATCCACACTGGTGCGCAGTTGCCGCTCGCACGTACCCCCTTCCACATAAACAAAGCCAATCCACAAACGATAAAATAAAAAAGCAGCGCGATGCGTTGACAGATTCCTTCCGTTCCGTCTGTTTCGTGATGAAGCCCCACCTCCTTGCCTATGTATTTCTGTCTTCTCTTTATGTCACCCACACAAATAAAATGCTCAAACAAAGTCCTGAAACCCCCTTTTATATGTCACCGACACCTGCTCCGCGCCCTTGTGTCGCTTCAATAAAAGACCGTCATTCACAAATGCACCCCGATGTTCAAAAAGAATACCCGCACCCCGATAATCCTTCAACAGGGTATTAAGAGCCAGCTCAGAAACACGCACCACCAATACAATCATAAAGCCCGTAATGAAAAGTCCACTCCAGCATGGACCTTTTTTTTAAGTCTTCATCGCAAACGGCCATGTACGAATTGAACTTGTCCAAACAAAACATTCCTCTGTGTCAAATCCATTCTCGTCATGAATCCCTCATGAAACCCCGCCGCACTGGTTAAACTTTCACCACCCAATCGGCCACGGCAAGCAAGAACGGAAAAAGCCACATAAGGACAATCATCTGGTAAAGCATGCCTTTGGCGTTGTAGACGGATAATCGCACAGAAACAGTGCCCATCCACAAGAAAACAGCATACACTGCGGCTCCTGCACTCTCTAATAAGCGCCTCATGAAATAAAAATTTGTGTCACGATTTCAGAGCACTGAAGTAAAAAAAAAAAAATGAATTGAAGGCAACAGTCGAGCACAAGTTCTACCGAGTCTTTCTCCGCAGGGAGAAAGGGCACCAAGCACACTGCGCTCGACATTCACTCACAATAACACACCAATAAATAAACCAAGGGCGGTGTGGAAATGGATTTATTCCATTCAGCAGCCCCAGCGGATGATAAAATACAAAAGGGGCCCAACGTAACGATGGTTCCTATCATGGCACCACACAACGTCGTCCTTCCATTTCAGGATGGGAATTAAGGAGTTAGCTGCAAGTACAGAAACCGTCTTCTCCACCCAGCACAGGACGCTGAGAAACTAGCCAACAGGCCAGAAAGAACAACATGCAGCAAATCGCTCTCAATATTCCGGTAATCCCTTCTCACGCCGAGTTATCGTCGCGGCCGACAAGTCCAGTTTGCGCGGTCCGCCTTTGTGAATTCACAAGCGCCATCATGATGGACAACCCACAAACATACCAAGGCAATCCATACGTGATTTCCTCAAACACCCTTGCAAAACCTCCCAACACCTTCTGCCCCGTGATGCAGATCGTTTCTGGAAGTAAAACCATTCGTGGTGAAGAAGCGCATCCCTCGTCAAAGGCACATCGCCCATCACACGCGATGCTTGCGCCTCCAACGCCCTCCGCCCATTCGCCGAGAAGAAGAAATGATCACGAGCAACAGCATCAGTGGCGCGCACGTCACACGCAGAGAATCCTAATCAACCAAGCAAGCGATATTGAGGTTCAATCCGCTGATACCTCCAAAAAGCAATGGAAATATTGTTGGGCAGCAGATTTCTCGGACTAAACGTCATCCACACTTCAGCACATTTCGCGCCAAACATTCCCAAAAAACGCGTTTGGAGTGCGTGTAACAGACGCAAGAGCAAAAAAGAGATGGAGCACAAAAAAACAATGAACCCCCAAAAAGAGCATTCTTACGTGTTCCCTCGCTTGCCCTCGCATGTCTCATTTCCGTGGGGCGGGCCTGTGGAATATGCGGGGGGCAACCGGGCCCATCAAGGCGATTCCCGTTCTCAAGCGTCATGACCCGCCGTACGCTCCCGAGCACACGTTTTCGCATACCACGCGCCCGCCTGACTTTGATGACAGTTGCGGGACTCCAACTTCCCCAGTGTATCCCGCAGTTTCTTGCCCTCTTGCTTTTGCTCTTCGTTTACAATTCATTCCTGGCAAGTATTCCTTTCGGGTGGTCGCCTGTTGCAATGATGAGGCGCAATGGCAATCGTGATGAGCATCGCCAGCGACACAATTCAGACACATCAGTGGCATTTAGGCTTGACGCCACACGGGACCCGGCGCTTCGCTCGCCCAATGAAAAGCTGCGGCCCCGTTGGTCTGGAAAGCGCGCGGCACAAGTCGGTATCCCCACGCGGCAATCAAACGGCTCAGAAACAGCGCGTCATCAGAGGCACGCTCGGCACACCCCACTGCAGAGCCAGTGGGTAAATTTAGAGCAAATTGGCACTACTGCGGCGGGCCATGGCGGACGGCAGGAATCATCTCGCGGTATTGTAAGGGGTAAACGTCTACAATTCGCTGTGGCAGCCAGGCGCAGAACAGATCGTCAATGGCGACAAAAGATATTCGCCACGTGTCTGTCTCAGCCACATTCGCTAAGAATAATCGGCGGCGTTGAGTTTCTTGTGTCAAAGAGTAGAGGATAAAAAAGAGAAAAAAAACGCAATATTAGGCAACGCCGCATTTCCCAATGCTCCATGATATGTCAGTTCAAATTTCTCAGAGACGTAAACTCTGTGTGGAAATGACGCCTCATCTCCGACCCGCTCTCATGAGTAAGTGAGATATGTTTGTGTGTGGGGAGAGGAATATAGTATTCATCGGTGCCTTTGATTTTCATTCTCCTCGCCTCTTCTTTTCCGTCAAATGAGTGCCGCGCCCGGCAACTCTGAAGAAGCGCCGCCAGAGCCAAAGATCAATGACCCGTCGCGCGTCAAAATATTGCCGAGTGGAGGAAGCGTCGGGAGGAGGACAACACTTGAAATAAAACTAGGAATTTGCTTCAGAAATTCAAAAAACAGCACCTCCTGCACCGTATTGCATACCTCCATAAGCGTTTTTCTGGAGACGTCGCGAAAACGCACAGTAGGCAGCCTTATTGTGGCGCGGTGCAGGGATGGAACGAACGTCCCAACTGGCGAACCACGAAAAAGAACATCTTCAGGAGGCCGCACCCTCCTGTCATAAGTTAGAATGACGCAGATCTCACATATGACCACAGAATTGATTTCAATGCGTCGGTTCCTTGAAAATGGAGAAATGAATGGCACGGCGATTGCTGGACTTGCGTCACCACCCTTGCTTCCTTTCTTCTTCATTGTCTTCCATGAATTGTCTTGGCAGTGTGCTGCCAGCTGGTAAAACTGATACAAAAGGATATCGGATAATTCCAACTCTAGCCGTGTTGCATTCACCTGAGCCGAGCATGCGGAGATTGCATTGATCAACAATTCCACATCACGCACCGTCATGTCAAAACAGAACGGTTTAAGCACATGGCAATTTTTTGATTTATATGTGCTCTGAATGGACGCATTTGACATTGTGTACTGCGCCGTTAACTTCATGGAGTGTTGGATCATCCAGAACTCAATACTTTCCACTGTGAAGAGAACCGAGCTCTCCTCGTCATCACGAATCATAAAGGATAAGTAAGAGACCTTGACATCCAGACGAACCGTAGTTTTCGTTCCAGTTGAACCATCTTCAATCTCCTCCTTCATTTGAGGGCTGATGGTGCAACATGTGTTGTCTTTTAGCAACACAGTTGTATTCAGTGGAACCAGAGACAACACGACCGTGACAGCGTCCTGCTGATGTCGAACAAATGCCATCACCTCATCATCCAAAGCGGTCAAGGTGTTGTGAGTCAACCGCAACACGTGCTCCTTGTCCCCTC